GAAAGAGAGCAATGCTATAAGTTTTCCCTCAGTCAGTGAGGCAGACACATCCCTGCATGACAGTTAGTATTCCCTATCCATTCCCTAAAGATTCCCATTAGCTCCTCCTAACCTGCAAATCCATAGGAAAAAAAAAATAATCATCAAGCAACAGGAAAGGGCCACAATTCTTTCAAGCCTGGACTTGTTAAGTGGGAAGGAAAATACATGCAGCAGCTTCACAGATTTTCCCCACTTTTAATTTAAAATGAGAGAAAAAGAAAAAAAATCCACCCTAGGATCAGAGACCTATTACCAATAGAAAGGCATCCACCCACATGCAACTATCTATGGCTGGTCTGCTTGAGTGGAGAAGTCAAAGACTGAATTGGACCAAGGAAATAGCTCTCCTCCTCAGCCCTAGAGATGGTCTCTCCTGGCCAAGGTGGAGGCAGGTAGCAGTGTGGCAGAAGCTTCCACTGCCAGTGCCTGGGTTGCAGATAAAGAGGCCATCAGTGTCCAGGGTTGTCAAGCCAGCACTCTTCAACAGCACTAAATTCACAGAAACAACTTTAAAGTGATAGTGTCAACTTAAAATCAGGTGTTGTCAACAAAGATTTATTTAGCTAAGGGACTTCTGCTCTCTTCAAACATGTTAGGACTGGATGATTGTCTGTGATCCTAAACCATAAACATCTCCTATTTGATTATTAAAGAAGTAACTGCTACAATACAAGCTACTTGTTTGGCAGGCAAAATGTGTTTGCAAGCTGATATACCCATGAGTCAAAATGCAGGCAGCTCTGCCTGCCACAGTGAAAACACAACCAGAGCAATGATGGAGCAGCTGAGCAGAATCAAAGCAGAAGGGATGTGAGCCCCTCCCAGCATGGAAGCTGCTGTTACTGAGCCAGGTAAATTTAAATAACAAGAATCAATCTCCTCTGACAGAAGAGAATAGAGAAAGTCAACCCACCCTGCTACATATAAATGAACAGCACAAACTGTTCTCAGCTGAGCTCAAGAACAGAATTTTCACGTGCTCAGCACTCACATTTGATTCTCAACTCCCAGAAGAGCTCAGGCCCCATTAAGCCCCAGGTTTTCAGCAGCTTTCAGCACTCAGCAGCTCCCATGCTGACACTTAAAAACAGATTTTCAGAGCCCAGTAGGCAGCACACACCCAGTACTGAGCAGTGAGCCGTAAGACCCCAATTATAAAAGTCCATTATTTCTGAAAATCTGTCCCTGAAGATAGATGTGTGAAGACAAAACTCAACAGAGCCATTAAGCACTTTGACTCACCTATAGACAGAATGCCACCCTTCCTTTCATTTGCATCAGAGCTAGAGACCAGCTCAAATATGTGATGGTTCAGCTGATCATAAAACCTGGTAGATTCTTCCTGACTCATCTGTAAAAGGAAAAAGTTCAAATCAGCTTTTAGCATTCTTCCTTTCCTTCCTGCCCTCAAAACCTCCATGAAGATGATGCTTCTTAGATCACTTAGAAAGAAATTAAATCAACCACACATTAGAAGCACAACACTCTATCTCTTATTTGTGTCAAGTTTATTTAATGTGCTGCTTGACCACCCATCTGTATCTCCAACTCATGCACACCTCCTACATGCTGGGACAAAGGTAAGCTCCCTGCCATGCTCCATCTCCTTTCTAAGATCAGCTTCCATATTCCCCAAGTCTCCACCCCCAAAGTTCCTAGCCAGTGCTCCTAGACCCACGGGATAAACACGGATGAATTATCTGGCTTGCAGCACTCACTTCACGGAGCTCCATGGTGACATAATGCTGCAGGTCCTTGGCAGCTTTTGCCCTTGTCTCTTCACTGCGACTCTTCAATCCATTGGCAAATTGTTGGAGAATGGACACGGTGCCCGACATGATGGTGGCAGGTTGGGGCTCGGGGGCATCAAGTCCTGTAAGTTCTTCAGAGAGAGATTTTTTTTTTTACTACTTTCAGCCCTAGAAATCTCTGAGCTTCTTTCTTAACGCTGCCTCGGCTGTTTCCAAAACACACATCCCACTGCATGCAAGGAGCATAAAATCACAATGACTGTGTTCCTCAGGCCTGACAACCCTGTGACAAAAGTGTATCCCCATGTAACGTCTTGACCTCCAGCCTATTTGCTCTCAAGTTCCTCAAATACCAATATATGCTTCAGTAGGTCAGATGCCCGACCCCATGCTGATCTAATTCTACATCAAGGGTAATGCAATAGCTGAAAAATAGCCCAGTCTGATTAGAGTTTACAATTACCCTGCAATAAGTAAGTCCAACCATTGCCATAATTATGTAATTATCACATTTGACTGCTCCTTGAATGTTTCCATCCAAGTTTCTCCACAGAAATTCCAGTGCTATGCAAACAGAAGGAAAACTCAGCACTCAGGGCCTGGCAAGTGTTACATTCTCCAGTTGGTATTTAGAGATGGGAAATCTACTTATAGCAACACCCATCACTGCAACAGGATGCTTCCTATAATAACACATACCCAAACATTCTAATGGGCCTTCCTTCACACGGAAAATATTTTAAAGAGGCTTGAACCCCCCGATTTTCAGGTTACATAAACCCAAACCCAGGACTTGACAGAAGGGCCCGCAGAGACACAGGACGCCAAAACGTCCAACTCTTTCTTCCCCAAAATATCCTCACGCGGTCACAAAGATCCACCGAGATCACCAGGTGAGGCGGCTTCGGGGCTTCCCCGGGACGGGGAGCCGGGAGGGGCTCCCCGGGAGGGGCTCCCCGGGAGGCGGGAGCAGCCCGGGCCGCGGGGAGGCTCCCTCAGCCGGGAAGGAGCCGGCAGGCCCGAG